TCAAGCCTGCGCCTCGCTTCGCTGTAACCTCCCTTCGACCGATCGGTACTTACTTCGCTCGAAACTTCTCTCATTGGCCTGGTCGAAAGGTATGGTGGAGGCTCTCTCTCTCTCGGCTAGAACAAATAAAACCGCGATACCTGCCTTGTACGTTCGTGATATTTATCCAACAGCGTGGCATATTTCGATAAACACGATATATACGAGTTTATCGTGTCTCCAATCGATAACTATTGCTTTTGAATAATGAAGGAAGGGCAGAGGTTAACGTAAATACGCTTCTCTAATCTGTACTTATTAAAAGGAGAGCGACTGCTTTATCTCGATCGAGTTTATCGACATGGCGAGAATATTTTGAAGAATATTTGAAAAATTGGCGCGAAATCGAAACGATTCTTTTTTCTTTTTTTAGTAAGTATATATATTTCTTTTAATTTCCAACTCATTCAATTTCATCTCAAATCATTGGTTTCTAATTCTTGGTTTCTTTCTGATCCTTTGAATTTATTGCAATCTCGATTGAAGAGAGAATAAGAAAGCATCTTTCACACTTAAATCAAACCTTTCTTCGAATATATCGAAACAACGTATTCGATATATTCAATGGTTTGTTCGAGCACAGCGACTGAGAAAACGAGAATCGAGGCAAAGCTAATACCCACGGCCACGACACGGTGTAGCGGATTCGCGCGAGCATTGCACCGCGCGATAAGATAGACTAAATAAATAAATTATTGGACGTCCGGCCGTCGTTGGAATGGGTTAGGCCGCGTTGATAACCCTTGGCTTGAGAACACTCGGTTCTGGGGATTTTATCTCGGATCTGTCCAAGTTGCACGGTGTACGTCCCACTTTATGACTACCGAGTCGCGGACGAGTGTCCAAAAATTAGGGTCATCCCCTATAACCGGGTCATTGCGAAGACGGATGGCCACGGTGTCGCCATCTCCTTCTGGGAATAATAATCGTGGATACGGATGTACACCGTAATAATACTCGAGAATGATGAAGCCTCCATAGGGGCGAATGCGCGTAACTTGTTGTCTTGTTTTTTTCTCTTGTGATAAATGAAAATGATTTTTGGACGAGAGTTTCGGATTCACGAATGCAACATTATGATAGTAATAATAGTAGAAAGAGTCTAATAATAGTAGAATAAAAATAAAAGATAGATCCGTTTCTGATATCTTGATATCGATTTCTGCGAAAATTCGGTGAAAGATTTGGTGTGTGTATATAAGGAACGAAGTTATTAACCGGAACCAGATCTTCGAACTTTCGAGATACAATTTTAGAAATCAACTTTGAATTGCCGTTGGATAATGGACAGTTCCATTTCCGTGATGTTCCCCAGCCTGAATCTTGGAAGAATCGATATCGTGTGCCATTTCTATCGGATCGGGTTTATGCTAAAGTTTTCGAGGTAGCGAACGATCGTTACTACACGACCTACTATAATCGGCGTTACATTATTGTCGAGTAAAGCGTATACACCAGTGAAATATGTACAATAATTTTTAGAAAAATTTTATTCAATGCTCAAAAATATTCCAACTGATTTTAATACTTTTTTGATAATTTTGATAAATTTGGAATAGCATAGCTCTGGTAATTTATTACGGTGACTGGAATTATTAATAATGAAATTTATATTTTGTAAAGGAATTAGTTTATTTTTTTCTCTACTTGCTACTGTACGACAAAAAATTCTTATTTTTATTTTAATTCGTCGATGTACTGATTTTTATCGTCGAATCAACGATGGGAAGAAAGACTCGTCTCGATTTCACCTCCATCGCGTTATCTTACAGATACGAAGTAAGAAGTGTTTTTTAATGAGTTTGACACGTTACAATATTCTCTGTCATTTCGTTTCACGATCAACCGATATCTTCGGATTATAATTATTACGTGTCAATGTATGAAATGCCGGTCGAGAGACAGTTTTACTATGTTTATGCACGATAAAATGTAATTAGATATAGTATTCGGTTACACTGTTTCATTTTATCGGCCCCTTATCGCCACGGTTCCTTTTTTCTTTTCTTTTCTTTTCTTTTTTCTTGACATAGAAATAACCGGCGTTTGCGAAATAAAATAGATCTTATCGGTATTTCTTGAAAATACACGACCCTGTCTTTAGTAGCGTGCCAAGTATCGGGACAACTATCGATCGATCATACTCCTACACGTTACCACTCTCGCGAACTTCTACTACTTGCGATCATTTTCCACAAATTATTCGTACATTTTCCTTCTCCTCTCCTCGCTGAAAAATAATTCAGTTGTCACCAGAAACTATCCTACGCTTTCCTACGAGTCGTTATTAAAATATCGTGACGTTTCAAAATTTACACAACGCGACATCGTGTTATTAATAAGACACGTTTACAGTGCAATGCATGTTAGATATACAACTTGTGTTTTATTTTTCTTATCAGAATTGATTAAAAATTATTCTACTACTATCCTCTATCTCTATATATCTCTATATAGTTCAAAAGCGAATTTTTATTCGATCGAAAACAAGAAAGAATAAAAATTGCTCATCGAGGGTGCACGTACATATTTCGAATTCGATTTCCTCGTAAACGAAGCTTCTAACGTTTCTTGAGTATTTTTTCACGCGAAGAAACAAGAATTCTCCGAACAAATCATCGAGAGATCAGAGTCTTTCGCGTGTACACAAGAAAATCACGTTCACGTGCGAACTCTCGACGCGGTAGTTGGTAAATCGATTTCAATCAACGCCAGGCGCAATTCGTATCGGCGATGATCGTGGGGAGGGGAGGGGAGGGGAGGGTGCTCCGCCGCTACTCCTAGCATTAAGATTAATTACAGTGTG